TGTCCACAGTCCACAAGCCTATAACCAAATAGTGTTTAAAATAAAGGGTTATTGTGTATTACACAAACCAAATTTAAAAGCAAATTTTGCTTTTTTGCAAAAAATATCTTTATTTGCATATGGAATTCCAGTTAACACCACGGCTTGCTATTATAAAGCGTTCCTGCATTCGGCAGGTAGAAGCGTACACAACGCAACAAAGATAGAAGCAAGTCACAGCAGAGCCAAGAAAAACAAAGGGATGTGCAAAGCATAGAGCGGATTTTACAAAAAATTGAGGAGGTAGAGAGAGAAATTTTGGTTATTGACGAAATCTGCTTTGCAAGGCATTGAGAGCGCTTTGCTTGACAGGTACAGCAGAAACAATAACTCTAGTGTTTAAAAAAAATCAATTATACAAACAATGAGCTCAACATACAAGCTGTATTTGCATTGATTTTGGTCACAGATTAAAAAAGAATCACCCAGTAGGAACCAGATGGGGAGATCTTAGCAACCTGGGACACCCTGGCCGGTATTCTGTCAAGTTCCTAAAATTATGTGACTTCACTGGAGCGTCCCAGGTTGCTAAGATCTGGGTGGAGAGATATGTATGGCATTTACACATTTCCCCACCCAACTCTTAGCAACCTGGGACGCTTTGGCCGAAAAGGGGGAAGCAGGCACACTGCAAACATTATGCAGCAAAGCGGCCATTCCGCTCTGCCTGCCACCCCTGCACATGACCCAGGCAGCTCAGCTTGCCTCATTATAGGAACGTCCCTGAGGATCAGGTAATGAAAATTGCAATCCTTGTCCCCTAGACATAAATGAGTGGTAACTCCACTGCAAGTGAAGTCTTTTTGTTTTGCCCGGAGATGGTCATCAATTCACAAAAAACACACCATGGCAAAGATCCCTGTTTTCAAAAGGTGACAGTTATTTTCACCCAATGAGATTTGAAAACTATAGTTACACTGCTAAAATAAAATACAATGACCTAGCTTAAGAAAACTTCCTTGCTGCCTGGATTGCATTAACTGTATCCTTATTGGCATTACCTGTCACCAAGACCTCCTCTGTAATAATGCAAAAACATTTTTGTTGTACTAATTGTTATATATACAGTGGGGGGGGGTATTTATCAAAACTGGAGCAGACAAAATCTGGAGCAGATTTGCACTGCAGTCTATCTACTTCTTTCTCTCATTTTCAAATCGTACCTGAACAAACTGAAGAGAGATGCTGATTGGTTGCCATGGGCAACTGCTCCAGATTCTGTTTGCTCCAGTTTTATTAAATACCACCACTCATTCAATAGACTATTGGTGGTGCACAGTGAGAAATGTATGTGCAAAATTGTGACAAAATAAGACCCAAATTGGGACAAATTATCATGTCATAGTGACCATAGTTTATAAAACCAATGCTCTTATTCTATACAACCAAAATACATGCAATTATTTTGTGACATTTCTGTAAAGTGGCACAAACATTAAGTTTCCAATTTTTTATGCACATGTTGCATATGAGAACATGTATTATGAATCATTGTTCATTTGTCACGCTAGTAAAAATGTTGCAATCTGCAAAATAACTGTAGACGTGTGTTGGATGTAAATCTACATTCATCATATGTCCTGCAAGTTTATTAAAACTGAACTACAGGTTCAACATAAGTATACTGCCAGTAAAGTTAATCTCCTAGCATACACAAAAGGTGTTATTTGCATAGGAAAATGTGCTGGGAAGCTAAGGTTCAAAGTAGGGGCCCTTTTCTACAGGTGTTCCAGCTGAGTGACGGCTTCTCATGTTCATTTCACCTGCATGCAGTTAAACAGGCTTGATCAGGGTAGGACCAGACATTTTAGGGGGTAAAGGTCCCCACACACCTTACGATAATCGTATGATAATCGCGGGAAATCCCGCGATCGTACGATTATCGTAAGGTGTGTGGAAGCCATGCGACCTCTACTACTGTAAGGTCGCACAACTTTAAACTTACGGACATGTTCGAAAACCCGCCGAGCATCGTACGATGTCCGGCGGGTTTGTGGCATGTCCGTACGATAACAGCCGTACGGGCCGGTGTGCGCAAGCGCACACTGCCCGTTCGGCATTGCGGTCATCGGAAGCCCGCCCCTCAGGGGGCGTGGCTTGCGATCATCGCAAGTACGATCTGCCTATGCAACATAGGCAGATCGTACGTTTTTTTAAGTACCTTACAACCATCGCAAGACAAAAGTCTTGCGATGGTTGTAAGGTGTGGGCCCAGCATTAATGTCTGTATTGTGTTGGGTTGGAAGGGTTAGATGAAGTTCATTTTTAAATGGCTAATTTGGATTAGGTGGGACTAGTGTGTGTGTGTGTGTAGGGGAGCTTAGTTTAGAAAACTGGCAGTGGCCATTTTGTTTATCGTTTTGGCTCCTGTAAACTTGGTGGGCTCCTGACAATGCCAAGCTGGACATGACTGCGAAGACTGGATGAGGGAGGAGGTCAAAAGGAGCATTTTGGAAAAGTCGTAGAGGAAAACTAGCACTCAATTGTGGCCATTGGTTATGGTATGGGTGTACCCAATAGTCCAGGAGGATATAAGGGGCCAGTGGAAGATACACTGTTTTGGGTCTTAAGCCAAAATTCTAAAGAGGGTTTTAGTAGGGCATTTTTTCAGGGGCCTGGTAAGTGGATAGTACACTGGGTAATTGTATGTGGTTATGGCATTTATATTGGTTCTGCTATGATTATTACTATTGTTTGTTTAAACTAATGTTATATGTTCCGTTATTGTCTAAAAAACAGTTATCATTTGGCCTTCTTCATTCAGATTACATTAAAAATATTTAAAGTAGTCCAGTGTGTGGTGTGTTTTATTTAGTGTAGCAGAAGAAGTCTTGGTCCCTACCCCTGGTTAAGTGTCTGCCATGCTGCCTTTTGTTGTTGACCAGATGTATCATGGGGACCCATGTTTAACAATTAAAAACAGGTATTTTGATCTATAACCTATAAATAACAGATTTTCACTCACCTCATAGTTCTAGCCGACCTGTTACAATGAGACTGTCACAGGTCGGCTCAATAGATCAGGAGGTGAGCAAACACATACTGGCATTCGCTCACCTCTCGATCCTGTCACGGCTCTCTGCCGTGACAGGGGAGGGGCTGGATTCCCCCCTCCCCGATCCGCCAGCGCTGACTGGCGGAACAGACGGGGGAGGGGGCGGGTACAGCTGGCTCTGCCTCTAGATAGGCAGAGCCAGCTGTCAGTCATGCAGCTGGGCGGATCCAGACATAATTGTCGGGATCCGCTTCAGCTGCGGCGTCTTAGTATACCACGAGCAGCAGCTGCGGCGTTTCAGTATACCGCAAGCTACAGCTCGAGGTATACTGAGCCTAGGGTGATGGGAGGATGCTAGTTTGTGTCCTCCCGTTACCCTAAGGAGAACTATGGGGAATAGCCTTAACCCCATAGTTCTCCTTTAATGTTCAAGCTATTTCCAATGTTGTGTTCCTGGAGGTCAAATAAATATATACCGGTATATTTAACACATTCTACATTTAACATATTTTTTATTGTGTCTAGTAGAAAAAAAACATTAAATAGTTGGATAATATGCTACTTGCCTACCACACCATGACACTGACATTCTGTGGCTTTAACAGCTCTGCTATGAGAAACCAGGAAATACTGTATAAGACTACACACACAACTGAAAATGTCGGAGGAGGAGAACACCCTCTCATTCTTAATTAGCAGTGATGAGCCTATATCAGTCAGATGACTCAAGCTTCCAACAAGCATTGAGTAGACTGGCATGATTTTGCCTTCATTTGACTATTTGTAAGAGACATTTTCTGTGAAGCAACCATTTACTTTATCCTTAATTATTTATTTACTTTTTTTAATTTTACTTTTTTTTAACTTTACTTTTACTTTATTATTTATTTACTTTCACCCTTCAACATGTACTCTTTTCTGTTGCTCAAAACCACGTTACCTTTCCCATACATTTCTGGATGTTCCCCTTTATATTAAAGCATGTGACTGTGTTTTCTCCTTCAATGTAGCTCAACTGGATGTCAGTCATGGGAATAACGGGAGTTTCACTATGCTACTAATTCCGAGAATTGAAATTAACGTGTTAATGTCCAAGTGAAATATGTTCTTTTTATTGATCATATTGTGTTTTACGTAACATTGTAACACCTTGTTTTTAATCTATGTTAATTACTACTTTTAGAAACTCATGCACAAAGAATGGTTTTTAGAACGGAAGCCATATTTAATTGTTCTCACACCTATGTTAAAATACAGCTTTGATTTGTTTGTGCTTCTGGAGTAGAAGAGTGGGTTCTACATAGCCAAGACAGAATAAGGTCCCTTTCACATTATGCGATCAGGAGGGGATCTGCAGGGGATCCACAGATGGAATTTCACCACTTGCGATGTAGGAAAAAAATGAAATGCCCGGCCTCCACATGAGACTATGGGGAATCGAATGTAAATGGATATGTGCATGTTTACATCAGATTATCCCCAATCTGACACGATCATGTCCAGTGAAACTAACCACTGCTTCATTTTTCCAGACCTGGCCGGAGCTGGGGGTAACCTGATTTAAACACACACCCGTCTGTTGAGATCCGGCTGCCCATAGACTAACATGGGACATCCGATCCGGTCCACCTGACAAGCGGACCTGATCGGACCACTCGTCTGAAAGGGGCCTAAAGGCAATGGTACATATATTGTTAAATGTTATAACGTTATTTGATCATGGAACAACATGTAAACCATAAGTTTATAACATTGCAAACCTAAAAAAGACCATAATCATTTTTTCCCCCCTTTAATAGAATACTGTTTTGTATTTCCTGAAGGCAACCAAGTCTTTAGCCTCTGGTTATCAATATCCAGCACAGCTTTGGATCTGATTGGTTAGAATGGGGCAATCTGGACAATTCTTATTGCGGACATTTTTATTAACTGAGCAGCGTTTTCTCACTTGCCACCCGTGTCTCACCTGATCAGCAACGGCGCGTGCCAGCTTGTCCATCCTGGAGCCGGCTTCGGCAATCTTCTTGGCAGCGTTAATCACATCGGATGTGTTCTTTAGCGGACCTTTCCCTCTGAAAAAGAAAACAGTCTAATTGCAATTCAGTTAAAGAACTAAAATGAGCACCTGATCTGAACTACCTTAGTCATTGATCGTCTTCACCCTTCCTTCCCACCAGTGTATAAATGATTGGTAATTTACTGTGAGTTCACCTCTTAACGGCACGCTGGAGAAAGGAGGAAACCTGCCAGCTTCCGCTTTTATCTGAATTTCCTCGCCAGCAATTTAGTTTGATGGCTTCTTCCAGCTCATGAATTATATTTAATAGTATGTACATTTTTAAGTGCTCATTAAGGAGACAGGCCTGCTGAATACAAAAGTTGGAGTTACTTCTAGAGGCTACTGGGTCCAGTGAGCACAAAGGCATGTTGGCAAATGTCCTCTCCATCACCATCCGCCATCCACTCAGCATATGTGCAATGTGTGCACCTATCCATCAATCAAATTTGCCATGTCATTAAATGCTTATACCTGTTTGCCTCTGTTGCTCAATGAGCCATTTTAATGGAAATGTCTGTTTGAAGAGGTATTTTGGCCTTGTAAGGTACACCTTAACAATGAGGAACAGAAGTAGTGGGTTAAATTCCGATAGGGGATCTACAGTCTTTTAAGTCTGTGAAGGTTCTCATTCATCCAGGTCATGGTACATCTGTAAAAAAATAAGTCAAGACAACTGGACTTGCTGTATTTTTCTTGAAGACGTTTCACTAGACATCTGAACAGCTTCCTTAATCCAGAATGACTTGTACAAAAATTATCTGGGAATAAATATGGTGAATGTTGCTCCAATCCACATAATCTGTTAGTCACAACCAGGTGTTGATTGCAATTGCATAATTGGAGTTAGGTGTTAATAATCTGCCCAGAGAGAGGTGTCTGCCACATACAACTCTGTTTTAACACCTCTCTCTGGGCAGGTTAATAACACCTAGCTGTAATTATGCAAATGCAATCAACACCTGTTTGTGACTAACAGATTATGTGAATTGGAACAACATTAACCACAATAGAATTACTATCAGAAAAAGGTGGTTTAGAAGTAGTGATGATAGTATTAGTAGTAGGGAAATTAGTAGTTGTACTACTCTCAATAGTAGAGGTTATAGAAGCAGTGGTAGTGATGGTGTTGCTAGTAGAAGCAGCAAAGTTAGTGGTAGTGGTGGTAATAATAGTTCAAGTGTAGTAGTAGTAGTAGTAGTAGTAGTAGTAAATGTTGTAGATCCAGTTTTAGATCTAGTAGTGGTAGCAGCAGAGGTAGTGGTAGTTGGAGCAATAGAGGCAGCAGTAGAAGAAGGGGTTAAATAAGTAGTGGTGATACTACTACTAATAGAAAAAGCGGTGGTAGAGGTTGTATTCGTAAGACTACTAGAAACATTGGTACAACCACAATTCCAAAAAAGTATGGGAATGCAAGGATTTGCAATTCTCATAAACCCATATTGTATTCACAATAGAAAATAGAAAACATATCAAATGTTTATACTCACAAAATTTACAATTTTCAGTAAAAAATAAGGTCATTTTAAAACTGATGGCAGCAACACTTCACAAAAAAGTTGGGACAGGGCAAAGTTGAGATTTGCAAATCATTACATGCTGTTGTTATGTAGATTTGACACATGTCCCAACTCTTTTGTAATTTGGGTTGTAGAAGGTGGGATAGTGGCGATAGTAGTAATAGTGGTGGTGATTGTAGTAGTACTAGAAGTACCAAAAGTAGAGGTAAAAAATAATTTTGTAGAGGTAATGGTATTAGTAGTAGTAGTTGTAGTAGTAAAACTAGTGGTAGTGGTGGTAGTATAAATATAAGCAGTAGTAGAAACAGAGGTTGTAAAATGTGGTAGTAGCACTAGCAGAGGTGATGGGGGTACTAATGGTAAAACTTGTGGTAGTGGTGGTGCTAGTATTAGTATAAGTAGCGAGGGTAGTAGTAGTAGCAAAATATGTACCAGTATAAATAGAGGTTACTGAGGGGGTAATAGTAGTGGTAATACTAATAGTATTAGTAGTATTGGTAGTCAAATAATTTTGAAACTAGTACTAGTAGAATTAATGGTAGTAGTAGCACTAGAGGTATTAGTAGAAGAAGGTGTGGAAGTGGTGATGGTACTGGCTAGTAGTAGTAGTAGTAGTAGAAGTAGTGGTAGTGTTGGTACTAGCAGTACTAGAAGTGGTGGTAGTATTAGTAATACAACTAGAGGTAAATCTGCTACTAATTTTAGTATAAGTAATGGTGGTAACAGTACTGCAGCTTCAAATGAAGTAGCAGAAGTAGAGGCTGTAGAACTATTGTTAGTGGTTGTACTAGTAGTAGTGTAGATAGTGGCAGTAGTAGAAGTAGAGGTTGTAGAACTAGTGTTAGTGATGGCACTAGTAGTATCGTAGGTAGGGACAATAGTAGAAGTAGGGGTTGTATAAGTGGTGTTAGTGATGGCACTAGTAGTAGCATAGGTAGTAGCAGTAGTAGAAGTAGAGGTTGTAGAAATGGTGGTGGTATTAGTAATGGTAAAAATAGTAGCTGTATGTTAGAAGTGGTATTTTGTGGTGCATATAGGGTTAATCATTTATTCACAGCATCCATATGAATTACAGCCCTTCATATTGATCATATTTCATTCTCTTTTTCTGAGTGCAAGGTGGTTCCTACCTGGTGAAATCTGTCATCTCCATCATGATCATACACATCTGTTTGGCCAGTACGATGATGTCATTGCCGCTATCATCCCATTTGGCTACTTCAGCATCCAGCTTGCTCTTCTCTTGGTGAAAGATCTCCACCTGCTCTGCAATTTTGGCCTTCTCTTCTTGCGGGAGTTGGGCCATGATTGCCTGTTGGATTGAACAATGAAGGGTAACATTAGCCACACACCACACATCTGCAAATATGAATGTTAGGTTGAACTTATCCGGAAGCTCATGTATACTGGGGCAATTTGAAAGATCCTGTACGTATATATATATATATATATATATATATGCACACACATACACAGTTTTATTTTAAATACATTCTTTTAAATCCAAATACTATTATTCTCTTCTGAAAATCTCACCCCAGTCCTGCAGGGCAGGTTTAGCTGTGCAGTAGTACCATCCAACTGCCTATGGTTACTTCTCTCACACAGTACAGCATTCGCACCTCCGGAATAAATTTGGACATGTATCGCTTTATAAAGCGTAATTGTAAGAAGAGAACTCAGCAGACACAGCAACAGATATAAATGTGAAATGTATTGATTAACTTCCAAACTTATTATACCGTGTTCATGCATATCCATGTGATTGGTTCTGTACACTCAGAAAAGGGTCGCATAAGTTGCCAAACACTCCAAGTATATTGGATATCAATGAAAATCTAAAGAGGTTTTGGAGATGGAGATGGATATTGTTTACTGATATATCATTAAATATTGAGAGGTCTGATTTCCTTCTCATAGTGTAGTTTTTAGAACCCTTTCTATTGTCTCTGGCTAATAAAGTAAGTACTTGTCTCTAATCACACCTGGACCTCCTGGAAAAAAAAGGTGAGTGTGCTGTTGTTTTGCTATTACTTGGCTGGCAAGATTTTATTTATTTGGTCGAGTCTCTTCAAATTTTTGCTGTTTGAGTTAATCTTGCCTTTACCCTTTCATGACAAGAGGTCCTTGAAGTTAAAATGTCAAGACCAAATTTAGCAGCAGTCAGTAAAACTCGAACAACCCTATGACTAATTCCCTACTGAAATCATGTTTGCATTGTTCAATTGGTGTGTAAAATCAAGCACCTAGGCATGCAGACTGCTTCTACAAACATTTGTGAAAGAATGGGTCGCTCAGAAGCTCAGTGAATTCAAACGTGGTAACGTGATAGGTTGCCACCTGTGCAATAAGTCCATCCGTGAATTTCCTTGCTACTAAATATTCCATGGCCAATTGTTAGTGGCATTATAACAAAGTGGAAGCAACTGGGAACAACAGCAATTCAGCCACAAAATGGTAGGCCACATAAAATGACAGAGCGGGGTCAGCGCATGCTGAAGCTCACAGTGTGCAGAACTCGCCAACTGTCTGCAGAGTCAATAGCTACAGACCTCCAAACTTGGTGTGGCCTTCAGATCGGCAAAACAAAAGTGCTTAGAGAGCTTCATGGAATGGGTTTTCATGGCCGAGCAGCTGCACCCAAGCCTTACATCACCAAGTGCAATGCAAAGCGTCGGATGCAGTGGTGTAAAGCACGCCGCCACTGGACTCTAGAGAAGTGGAGACGTGTTCTCTGGAGTGATAAAATCATGCTTCTCTGGCAATCTTATGGATGGGTTTGGTGGTTGGCCGGGAGAACGGTACTTGCCTGACTGCATTGTTCCAAGTGAAATGTTTGGTGGAAGGGTGATTAAGGTGTGGGGTTGTTTTTCAGGGGTTGGGTTTGGCCCCTTAGTTCCATTGAAGTGAACTCTTGACGAATCAGCATACCAAGACATTTTGGACAATTTCATGCACCAACTTTATAGGAACAGTTTGGGGATGGCCGTGAATGGTCAAACATTCCCATAGACACACTCTTAAACCTTGTGGACAGCCTTCCCAGAAGAGTTGAAGCTGTTATAGCTGCAAAGTGTGGGCCAACTCAATACTGAACCCTACGGACTAAGACTGGGATGCCGTTAAAGTTCATGTGAATGTAAAGGCCAGCGTCCCAATACTTTTGGCAATATAGTGTATATTCTCACCGGCAACTTTATTAGGTACACCTTGCTAGTACCGGGTTGGACCCCTTTTGCCTTCAGAACTGCCCTAATTCTTTGTGGTACAGATTCAACAAGGTGTTGGAAACATTCCTTAGAGATTTTGGTCCATATTGACATGATAGCATCACGGGCCCAAAGTGTGCAAAGAAAATATCCCCCACACCATTACACCACCACCACCAGCCTGAACCGTTGATACAAGGCAGGATGGATCCATGCTTGCATGTTGTTTACACCAAATTCTGACGCTAATATCTGAATGTTGCAGCTGAAATCGAGAGTCATCAGACCAGGCAATGTTTTTTCAATCTTCTATTGTCCAATTTTGGTGAGCCTGTGCGAATTGTAGCCTTTGTTTCCTGTTCTTAGCTGACAGGAGAGGCACCCTGTGTGGTCCTCTGCTGCTGTAGCCCATTTGATTCAAGGTTTCGACGTGTTGTGTGCTCAGAGACGGTATTCTGCATACCTTGGTTGTAACAAGTGGTTATTTAGGTTACTGTTGCCTTGCTATCAACCTGAACCAGTCTGCCCATTCTCCTCTGACCTCTGACATCAACAAGGCTTTTTCGTCCACACATCTGCCTCTCACTGGATATTTACTAATTTTCGGACCATTCTCTGTAAACCCAAGAGATGGTTGTGCGTGAAAATCCCAGTAGATCAGTCGTTTTTTAAATACTTAGACCAGCCCGTCTGGCACCAACAACCATGCCACTTTCAAGGTCACTTAAATCCCCTTTCTTCCCATTCTGATGCTCGGTTTGAACTTCAGCAACTCATCTTCACCACGTCTAGATGCCTAAATGCATTGAGTTGCTGCCATGTTATTGGCTGATTTGTAATTTGTGTCACCAAGCAATGAAACAGGTGTACCTAATAAAGTGGCCGGTGAGTGTATATAGATAACATGTTTCACATTTCAGACAGTTCTGAAGTCCAGTACTGTCTTCTACAAACCCAGCTCTTCTCAGGGCTTCTGGCCTTCCTTGCCACCATCTTTGGATTTGGGAGCTGGCTATGATTTCATAATCACTTATAGCCAGCGATGTACGTGAGACAGCCATGTGTGAGACTGGCACTGCACAAAGACTGGTCCTTCCTATAGCCTCTTGGGTTGTGTGACCTTAACTCAGGAGGCTTGAGGAGGGGACCGAGGGGATGTTATCTCCGCCTAGGCAAGGAAATGAGGAAGTGGGAGCGAGTACCACCAAAAAAAGGTATTGACTGTCAAAGAGGCTGAGGGGGGGGGGAGGGTGATGGTGAGTACAATTCTGAGGTGAAGTGCTGCTTTAAAATTGTAGACATTTTGGGGAGGAGAATCATAGTAATTGTGTTTTTCAAGGAACGCTCCACAAGAAATTGAATAAGCAGAACATTTACACCATCTGGTTAAAAACCAACTTCTCTTTTTTTGTTTTGGATAGAGCAGAGAAGGCTTAGATTCACATATTTTAATTTCTTTCAGTGTCACCGCAGGGACGATTTCCCCTGACTTCCTATCCTAGTTTTGACATTTTGTCATTGGGTCTTGGTTGGAGAGATACAAGCAAAACAAACGACAAACGCACTCAACAACTTGTCACCAGTTATACAGTAACATGCTGGTTTGTGAGTGTGCCATGATGCCTTTCTACTGTTTTTGGTTGGAGAGATATCCCCTCCTTAACTTTTCCCAGTAACAAAGGGACAGGAAGTGAGGGAAAATCGCCCCAACATTGACACTGATGGCAATAAATAAATCAGACAGGGGTTCTAACCATTACCTACTCTATCCAAAATGTAAAAGACAAAGTTTCAGCTGGACTTGGGCTAAAAGGAGTAGATCCAATTCAACATGGAGACAATTGCTTACTGGATCCTACTGAAATTTGGCTTTAGGAAAAGTCATATAGCAAGGATTTATTGTACATGTTTAAATTAGACAGGGGGCAAAATATAAAAATACAGGGTAATTGCTTTAACACTTTGTATAGCTGCTGCTCTCTCTAAGCATTTTAACCTCTGCGTCTTATTGTAAATAATCCTTATTAGTATGTAGAATTAACATTGCTGCTTTGGAATGTAATTCATTAAGTGTTGACCCATATTTTTAATTTAACCTGCACTGAAGATTATTGCTGTAGAAGAATAAGTGGGTATACTTACTATGGATAGGTACCTATAATGAGTTGTTATGAGTACTTTATTTACGGTACTTTCCTTGGATTGCTGAGATATAACAGTAGATTCTTCTCATTTGGACATAATGTGGAGCGGAAACCATGACCAGGTGTCAGTCTTCTTTTACCAGGCTAGGGGAAATTAAAAGGTAGCAGCTAAAAGTACTGTAGATGCTGACTTTGAGGAATCACATACTTACCAGCCCATGAAGTCCAGCTCTGTCTTCTGCAAAGCCGATTCTTCTCAGGGCTTCTGATTATTCACTCCACCGTCTTGGATTTGGGACCTAGCTATGACTTCCCGATCACTCACAGCCATCCCTGTTCTGCACATGCATGAGATCAGCACTGCAGGGAGACTGATCCTGTAGCCTCCTGGGATGTGTGATCTTATCTTAGGAGGCTGAGAGCAGGGGTAGGAGCAGGATGGGTGGTGGACCAAGGGGATGTCACCCTCACCTAGGTGAGGTGAGGAATGCGAAAGTATGAAAGCGCACCATGAAAAAAAGGTATTTACCTCCAAAAAAAGACAAAAAAAAAGACTGGGGTGAAAGAAGGGGATGACGGTGGGTCAAATTCTCAGGTGAAGTTCTGCTTTAAAATTGTACTAATTTTGGAGAGCAGAATCATGTCAACTGTGTTTTTCAAAATGCAGGGCTAATTCGTTCATTTACTCAGTATTCTCTACAACACATTGCTAATATAAAATTAGAGGATTCATCCTAAATAAAGAATGCCCATGGCATTGAAATCATATAATACACAGCACCAGCATGTTCTATAAAATGCTATCTGGGCTATTACCTACAGATTTCGCATTACATTTGTGTATTCACTAACATCATAATACTGTCAAATCACCCCAGTGGTTTATCGCTAAGCAGACGATCAAAATAGAATGATTTAAAAGTTGATCAAATTATGCCTTATTACGAAATGCATTTGAA